GAGTGTGTGTGTGTGTGTGTGTGTGTGTGTGTGTTTGTGTGTGTGTGTGTGTGTGTGTGTGTGTGCGTGTGTGTGTGTGTGTGTGTGTTTGTGTGTGTGTGTGACAGATGCCCTCAGAAAGCCACTAACAGGATGACGACAGCGCTGCAGGGTAAAGACGGATTATGTCTGAGCAGTAGTTAAACAGATTATTCCAGAAAGGGTGCCTTCTTTTTTAACCTCGTCACTCTTGCCACACTTTACAGCTCTCGCCGAGGAGGAGGAAGGAGGAGGAAGAGGAGGAAGAGGAGGAAGAGGAGGAACTTGGTCCTGCAGCGATCATTACGAGAGTTTCAGCTGGAGCTCAGGGCCTGAAAATGATCCATGAAACCGTCAAACATGAGTTGCACCTGAGTTAAAGGACACACCCAGCAGGATTTCATTTCATATTTCTATTCGGAAACTCTTCTCCCATAATGCTTTGGGAATTCGGACTCGTGCTGATGTTCGTCCTCGCTCCACAAGCCGCGGGATTTAAAGGTGAGCTTGCGGTTTTTATTTTATCCACAAAATCCCTTTTTTAAAGCAACTTCTAAAACAGAAACAATAATAAAGTTCTCACTTGGATGAATGAGCACACTCAGATGCAAGGGCTTGATCTGCACTAAACTTGGTCACAATGCAAAGCTAAGCCTATTACGATTACATAAGTAATACCCGGGTTGCTTTCTCCAGAGGACGCACAAAGGCTCTGTAAAGCTCCATAAACGGAGAGAAGTAGAGCAGTACATCCTTCAGAGTGCCTCCTTTCAACACAGTGTTTCTGAATATGTGCAAACATGCTGATTCAAAATGGAGAGGGGATAGTGGCACGCTTCAATAGATGTTTCTCCAGCAGTGGGTTTGATTTTGAACCCATGAGAAACGTCTGACTGCGTTTCGATCCAATGGCATCTCAGAGCATTCACACCTACACTTAGAGGTGTCCACTTCTCATTGGATCGCCAAAGAAGTATCTTAGGTGCTGTTTACACGGGAACGGAACGGGTTGTATCTGCTACTCTTCTCTTTCGTATAGCCCGTTCGTTCACACAAGGCTGTAACGGGACCGCGGAAATGGACCCCTCAAACGATAACGGGTCCCAAGGTGGATAGATCTGCGGACGGAAGACTCTGGGGGTCAAACGGCTCTGTGTGTACTTCCTATACGATCATTTCCTGATAGCAATGAAGCCGTAGCCCCGCCTCTCCCCACCTCTGCTGCTCACTGCTGTAGCATGGTCAGTAGCTACTAGGGGTGTAACGGTATACGTTTTCGTACCGAAAATATTCGGTATGGGCCCTTCGGTTCGGTACACGTGTGTACCGAAGTGTACCGAACGAATATAACGTTAAACGTAAAAAATTGAGAAGGTGAAAAACTTTTTGGAAGTAANGTAACGGTTCACAAACATTTCGGTTCGGTACGTACCTCGGTTTTTAGGTCACGGTTCCGTACGTTTTCGGTACAGCAGAAAAAATGGTCACAAAACATTAAATATATATATATTTTTTAAAATTTGTATTAAACTGTGAATAAACTCAAATAAATACAAAATATAATAAAATAAACATTAAGGTGCAGCATTTCGATGAACTGAAATAATCTGTATTTGAACTGTACTGTACTAGTACCTAAGCAGCCAGTTTGACATTATGACTTGCTTGTCATTGTATTTTCATGTTTTTTTTAAGAAAAATGTACTTGTCCACATTGCTTGCTGAAAGGGCAGATCTGCTGGCACTAACAATGTCTCCTGCTGTGGAGAACACCCTCTCGCTAGGGACAGAGGTAGCAGATATAGCCAGGTAGCGCTTTGCTAACATGGCAACATAAGGATATTTGGCGTTTGTAATAGCTTTGGCTCGGTCTGAACTTTTTGCGAGTGTTGGAGGCTTAAATGCTAGTGGGAGTCAGGTTTGCAATTCATTCTTTTTTCTTTTGGTACCAGTGATATCCACGTTCGGGTGATGCCTTTTCAAATGAGTGTGCAAGTTTGATGTATTGCCAGCCGCGTAACCAATTTTAGTTGAACAATGCCGACAAACAGCTTTGGTTCGGTCCACCTGTCTTTGTCATCCTTGTACGTAACTGCGAAACCAAAATGTTCCGAAACCGGAGACTTCAGTGATGCTGGAGGATTTTCGAGTTCAACTTTATCTGCATTCGACAGACTAAATTTGAACGCATCCCTGTGACCAGCTCTCATAGTATGCCTCTCGTCCAATGAAATGACTTGGTCGCTCTATGACGCGGTGAACCCAATGTGAGCAAATTACACTGAACGCTAAGACGCAGCACCTGAGATTACTTCCAAAAAGTTGTTTACGTTCTAATTTTTTTACCTTTAACGTTATATTTGTTCGGTACACTTCAGTACACACACGTACCAAACCGAAGAGCCCATACCGAATAATTTCGGTACGAATACGTATACCGTTACACCCATAGTTGCCATGGCAACGGCATTTGAAGAAATCTCAAAACTGTCCCGTAGATGTCTTCACGGCTGGACTGTTAGCACACATGTGAAGTTTGAGCACTTTTTGAACATTTTCATAAGGAGTTTATAGCGACATCGTCTTTTATGGCGAGAGGATGCGTTTTCCATGGGAAACGGCATATGATGAAAACCCCATAATTGACTAGAGCTGTTGGATGGCTGGACCGTTAACCATTATCCTGAAGTGTGGTGCTGTTTTGACCCCCTCGCTTTTCATAGGCGTTTACGACAACATCGTGTCTTATAGCGAGGGATGCGTTTCTATGGCAACAGCCTATGGTGAGAATCCCTCAGATTTGGCCGTAAAGCTGTTGAGGCATGGAACCGGTGATCGACAAGCAAGTTTAGGGGGCCGATCGACCGTGTCCATTGGAGTTACAGTGGCATCGTGTTTTATGGCAAGGGATGCGTTTCCATGGAAACGGGCATATTGATGACACCCACATAATTGACGTAGAGCTGTTTGAGGGCTGAACCCATTATCGCTGAAGTCTGCTGCTCTGAGCATGTCAATGTAGCTATGACATCATCGTGTTCCATGACACAGGTGTTTTATATTTGAGCTAATGACGTGTCCAGAGATCAAAAGGTTTCATGGTGATTAGTGAGAGTAAAGCATTTTCATTGTTCTGAATGAGAGATAAACTGTTACATGTGAATGTTTTGTTGAAGAACCATAACAGATATCGGTGAAATTTCAAAGCGTGAAGCATGNAAGTATTTAGTCAGCCACCAATTGTGCAAGTTCTCCCACTTAAAAAGATGAGACCTATAATTTTCATCCTAGCATTTTGTCTCTCATAGTTGAGGTATACCTAGGATGAAAATTATAGGTCTCATCTTTTTAAGTGGGAGAACTTGCACAATTGGTGGCTGACTAAATACTTTTTTGCCCCACTGTATATTCCATGTGCGACTGTTGCTATGTGAGTTAATCTTTCAAATACAAGGTTGCTTGTTTGATTCAAGCTCTTGTAGTCAATATGTCAAGGTATTTATCCCTAATATTTTCTCAGCTAACTAATGACACACACTCAGAGGATCTTTTAAAACGTTTTAAGTATTGCACATCTTTAAACATGACTCCTATAAATCACTTTTAAAACCAGTGATGCACTACAGTGTCAGCTTGTCTAAAATAGAAAATTATTCTACTTTTCACTGACCTACAAATAATCCTAATAATAATCCCATTTTCAATCTTCCAACTGTTCATATTTTTTGGTCAATTAACAAACCTGTTACAAATGTGTTGTTCAACAGATTTGAGCCTTTGCGACATTTATTTGATCACCATGGAAACCTTTGATCTCTGGACACGTCGTTAGCTCAAATATAAACACCTGTGTCATGGAACACGATGTCATAACTCCAACTGACATGCTCAGAGCAGCAGACTTCAGATAATGGTTAACACAGCTCTACATCAAATCTGATGTTACGTAATGTGGTGTTACTATGGCAACGCATCCCTCGCCATAAAAGAGCAGCAGACTTCAGATAATGGTTAATGGTCCTGCCCTCAACAGCTCAATTATGGGGTGTCATCNCTTAATAACCTTCATTACGTGTTAGAGAAAGAACATAAGAAAGTTTGACAAAGATGAGGCTGTTAAACGGGCAGCGGATCCGCTGTGCGTAGACAGAGAGAGAGAGAGAGAGAGAGACGCTGAGCTGCACCGTGCAGCGATCAGCTGATACGGAGCATAGAGAGGGAGAGCTGCAGTCCGCGGGGCTCGGCCTCGCCTCCTGTCCTCACAACTCTTATAAATCCCAGGACCGGACAATTGTTATTTCTTGTTCCTACTCGGAACCGAGTTTTGCTTCCCAACCCTGCCACTGTGCTACACTTCCCGCCCCGCCCCCGTCTACCTGTACAGAAAGCGGCGAGATGCATTTCAGTAGGAATCGACAAGCAGAACCGAAACTATCATTTCTAAACGAACAATGGCGGACACGTACAATTTGCGAATGAGTTCTGCCTTTTGTAAACAGAATTTATCAATAATTTGTCAATAAATCAGGGCGAAAAACGTCACTTGTCCGCCGGACAAGTCAATTGAAAGATCTACTTGTCCGATATTGTAAATAACACGTCCCGGACGGTGGGACGTGTACTTTTTCGCACACTGCTCCTACATTTTTTTTGTATATATTACCGTTTCATTTTATTTCACAATCATACTTGACATGGATACTGGCCTACAGGCTTGGACATGCTATTTGTCTGATATCTTTCTGTGGTCCTTTATGGCTTTTCTTCAGTCTGGGGAGCGACGGGAGGTGTGCCACTACCTCTATGTCAGCTGGCCAGACTTTGGGGTCCCCAAATGTGCTACAGCCATGTTGGACTTCCGTGAGCATGTCCTGAGGAGGAGGGAGGCTGCGGTCCAGAGCCTGGGCTCCAGCTGGACGGGCCCTCCAGGGGGCCCCCCTGTGGTTGTGCACTGCAGTGCCGGCATTGGCCGCACAGGTAAAGCGCTTGATATGAACTCTTATCTTCACTATCCTGTGTTTCACTCTTGTTGCTGTTGCTGCTTTGACACTTGAGTTTTCCAAACCGGGATTAGAAACAGAATTGTCTTATTTTCATAATCATAGACCAGAACTTCTAGTATTATAAATATACTTCTTCATACTTTTTTTTTGTACACTTTAATTGATCTACGATACGGTCATACTTTATTGTCAGATCAAGTCTGACATTTTTCTTGCATTGCAGCAGCTCCATTTGCAACATCAAACAAGGATAACAATTAAACCCATATGTTTATGCTGAGACATTGTTCCTTTTGAGTAATGTGTGGCTTTATGTTGGCCTACAGTCTTAGTGTAACTCTAAAACAAAACAATTTAGTTAGACAAAATATTTTTCAATTCTAACTGTACTACATAAGTCTCAGTATACTTGGACACTTTCTTTGCAAACGTCTAGCTTAAAAAACATTTGTTTCATTTACCAAAACAGCTAAAGTTTGAAAATATCAAGTAATTGTACTTTAGCATCTAAAATGGATCCAAGAAGTGTTACATTTGTGAAAAAATGATTTAATCTTCGCTAAAATTCAAAAACATCTCTCGGTACATTCTTTGTACTGAGAGATGGTTTTTAGTTTTTTTTTCTGTGATATGTTGAGGCTTTTTTATAACGTGCCAAGTATGTGTATGCAATTTGGTAACTTGTTTTGTTCACCTTTTCATCCTCTCTTTATCCATCTCCCCTCCCTGACAGGCACGTTCTGTACACTGGACATCTGCCTGTCCCGGCTGGAGGACATCGGCTCGGTGGACATCCGTCAGACGGTGCGACGGATGCGCACACAGAGGGCTTTCAGCATCCAGACCTGGGACCAGTACTACTTCTGCTACACAGCAGTCATCGAGTATGCCCAGCGCAATGGAAAACTGAGCCCAGTGCAGTGGTCCGACTCAGACCTAGAGACTGACAGCGAGTGAGGGACGCACGTACAATAAAACGAGTGGGATAGCCAACATAAGCCGAAATCATAGGAATGACAGAATGAAGATCCAGAGGAGAAGAGCGAGAAAAAAAAAAAAAAAGACTGATGATGGATTTCTAGTTTCGGCTCTCGATGTAAAGACTCAGACTCACAGTTGCTCTTCCTTCGCATGAATTGATAGACGGAGGAGGTGGAGAGCTGGAGATATAACATGCAGGGAGTGGAGACCGTGCATTGCGTCACCGATGAAGCAAGCTGTCCTGCCAATTTCCGAGCCCCTTTTTATTTAGCAAACTGCGAGGGGACTTGGCCTGCCCTGAACCTGTCTTGTTGACAAGAGAGTTGTACGAGTTGTAGCATTTTTTTTATATTGACTTGCACATGAGGAATGACAAACTTGAAATCTTTCCCTTGAAGCCCTCCAAACCCCAGTCTTGTTCCTTTTTTATTTTATTTCATCCTTTTCAACCCTGAACATCTCTGTGATGACAGAGGAAATGTGAAGGGTGTAAAAAGGTGAAACTTAAAAACCTTCTTTTTTTTTCAGAGGAAATGCTTGTGTGAGCAAATGGTCGTAAGCGACAGTAGATCAGTGTGTGAGCCATTTAGTCCGTTTCCGGTTTTTCTTTTTTTTTCATGTCCTTTTTTTTCTATGGTGCATTTTCTACTTGTGTTTCATATTTGTGCATATGTAGACTAACTTTTCAAAGCCAAAGTCCTCACCCTGAATGCTTGGATGTACTCCTTACTGAGATATTATAGACTGAAGCCCATGTATATTCTTGTAACATACATTTATACATTATTGTGCATAATAACAACCTCTAAAAGAAGAGCAAAAAAAGCCTTGTTTAATACAAATTGACTTAACCATCAGAAGAAATATCTATGTAGCGAGCCAGGCTTTGACAAAATACAGAAAAGAGTTCTGTTATCAAAAATGATATCATATTGCGAATCTGTGGGATTTATCAGGTCTTACATCATCTTTACTGTTGGAGCGTTCTGATTGGACGGTCTTAAGTAATTTGGCCTTAACTTGATTCACTGCCTCGTCATTCTCAGACCGAAACCATATCTGAAACTGTAAACTTTAATTTCCCCTTTTGTTCTTTCCCTTTTTAAATCTTACTCCCTTAATACCACAACTGTTGTTTTTAATTCTCGGGGCATATTCTGCCTCAGATAATTGTGCCTTCAAGTTTCCTTGGCTTAATGTCTCGCTAGTATAGTAATAACACCCAAACGAGTGCACTTCATTAGTACACGTTGACTATGTTCCAGACAGGACACCCACATTTTGCCTATAGTCCTGTACATAGTGCACTACTCGTGAATAACGGGAGAGTAGTGAGTAACCTGGGACTAAGCTCTGGTTTGAGACATGGCTATTCTCTTATCATTTGACCTCAGGGGGTAATTCTAGTGTTTTTGCCTAGTGTCAAAGTTCCATTTCTGGGTTTGCCTCTGGTAAATTATCATTTAAGAAAAAAAAGTATATCAACTTTATTTTGTATTTTTTACTGTATTGTATCCTACTATATTTATGTCTTTGTAAAACTTCTACAATATTGAAATCATTGAATGTTGGTACGAGGCTACAAAGAAAAACAGAGTAGTTAAAGCATTTGATAAGCTGAACAAATCAGATGGGGAGTGAAATATATTTTTTGTTTTTCACAATGAGATTTTGGTGGAAAGTGTCACTTGCCATTGTATTTTCAGAACTGACTTGTATAAATGTTGATTGTTCAATTCTAGGAAAATAGAGGGGGGGGGGGGGGGGTCAGGGGAAGCTAACAAGTATGTTTTTAGACAGCTTATTGTTAAACTCAATAACAATTAACTTCTTTTTCGTCTGGTACCCAATGCCAAGGACAAGACAAAAGAGAGCTACCAAGACAACAAAAAGAGCAAAAAAATACAAGCAGCTGCCATTTTTGTTCACAGAAGTCCAGCCTGGTGTCTATGAGTACAAAAATATATTTATAAAGGGTAAAGGTTTATCAGCATGGAAAGCGAGCCTTGAATGTTTTCTGGATAATGGATTCCGAGCAATTAAGTCAGACAGACGGTGATATTGTTGGTGAATGTGGACCCTGCATCCCTCAATACCAAAGGCCCAGGCTCACCCTAAAGAATCTTTCCTCTCACACAGCAACAAGTGCAAACAAGCATGGACCTACCAATGCAGCCTTGCATCCACGGACACAAAGACTGGAGCACCTCGGGAACATTACTAAAGATTTGAAGATACAAAATGGGAGATTGTGTGTGTAAAAGACTGGTCCCTCTGCTACAATAATTAGTTGTATGAGAAACAGAGAATGCAACATGCGTTTGTCATTGGTGTTCATTTAATGTTTTCTTATGTGCTTTAAGTTCTCGTGAATTATGGCCTTTTACATGTCAGCCCGGCTGTCCCATTAAAGCAACGGTATTACTATCTTGAATGAGTACAAGGTTTATGTGATCTATTTCCCACTGGATAGAGTTGTGCATACATAAAATACACCATGCTTTCAGTGAATACTTCCCCATAGAATCTTCACTTTCCATTCAATGTTGCTGTTTAAAAAAGCATTTCTCAGTTTTCCTCACCCCAACTATAAAAGCAGCCAGCTTTAGGCCTATAGATATAGGTTTAGGAAAGTACATTTTTACTCCATAACGATGTTTTCTGGCCATAAATTACTACTTGCTTAATAAATTACGTTTTTGTGTAAAAGTAAACATTTATATAGTTTCAAGTATATAAATGTAGTTATCTCACTGCATTGTTTCCTTACATATCTCATTAAAAACAGGACTTTTGTACTGGGTGTAAAATTTGACATTGCTTGTCTTACAATAGAAATATTGAAAAGCTTCTTTTAGTCCAGCAAGTTTAATTTTAGCGTCAGATGTCATTGTTTTTTTTATTTTAATTCTATCCAACAGTTTTTCTGGAAATTGAGGATTTTGTCCCCCATTACTTATACAGGAAACATAACAAAAAGGATATTTAAAAAGCCAATATGAATGATTAGAATGCCACATCTCGCAAAGTAAACACATTTGAAAAATGTGGTTTGTGATTCAGATAATCTCCATAATGTGATGGGATCTTCCATGGCTCATGCTTCATCCTTCCACCAAGTTTCATCATAACAAACAACAGCTAAGTAAAAAAAAGTTAAACACCCTTTTTTAAGAATAAATATACAAGTTCTTATATTTTACCAGTTAAAAGTTACACTGAGAATGAAAACAATCTAAAACTACATTTTGTGTGTTTCTTTGTTTGTGTGTGTGTCTGTAAATTGATATTATTTTTTTATTAGCATCATCTGCGGATGTTGTTCCTCTGAAATGAGTTGGGGTATGTTTTGTTGGAACGGGAGCAGGAGGCGCAGCAGACACTTCTGTAGTAAGGGTACACACAGAGACGAGCCTGGACCACCACCACACAGTTATGATACTGGTCGCTGCAGGATGGATCTGTTAAAGGGAAGGAGGCACAAGTTAGTGCAAATGTCCTTCTTTCATTCAGTTGTATCCTCGACAACAGGGGTGTCCGAACTTTTCCCACCGAGGGCCACATACAGGAAAATATATGAGCCACTAACTAGAGGTACAGTGGGGCAAAAAAGTATTTAGTCAGCCACCAATTGTGCAAGTTCTCCCACTTAAAAAGATGAAAGAGGCCTGTAATTTTCATCCTAGGTATACCTCAACTATGAGAGACAAATGAGAAAAAAAAATCCAGAAAATCACATTGTCTGATTTTTAAAGAATTTATTTGCAAATTATGGTGGAAAATAAGTATTTGGTCACCTACAAACAAACAAGATTTCTGGCTCTCACAGACCTGTACTGTAG